CAGAAAAGTTTACCTAGAATGCTGTTTGTTGCTTAAAAAAGAATCCATAAAAATACATATGTTACTATTCTTTATTGTATTCTCTTAGGGTGCGGATATAACTACTATATTCCTTAGCACATTCGGAAAGAAGAGGTCACACAGGAGCAGAAAACAAATTAAAACACCCAATTTTCAAGTGTATAATCTTGCAATTTAACTCTGTATTTTCAGTGTGGTCTTTGTATCCAATTTCCTAAGTTGTTTTTTTGTTTTTTGGGGTTTTTTTTGTTTTGTTTTGTTTTTAAGAAAAAACCCACAACATTTTGGTGTACAAATGTGGCAAATTCCCAAACAAGGAGATATACTTAGGATTTAAACTCCAATGTTTCTTTACAGCTGGAACTACAAGACAACTGGAAGAATGGATGGCAGGCTGCCCTTAAGTATTTTGCTGAAGCTCAGGACTCTGACTTGTTTTAGAAAAGCAAAAGATTTTACTCTAGACTATAACCTCAAAGAAAATTTGATAAGGGAATCCCTGTTTAACCTTCTCCATCCACTTTTCCTCACACAGTGGCTCCAGTTCCCTCAGTCTGTAACGTTACACATTTAGTTATCCTTCTAAAGCATTAACAAACTTTTCTTTGCAATAAAAGAAAGACAGAAGCGGCAATTTGAAAAAAATATGTTGCTTCAGAGAACACAACTATTTAAGAAGTAGCTCCATCTAAATCTAAGTAGACGCAGAACAAAACTGCAGAAAACTGTAAAAGTACTCCATAGAAAGCAAATGTCCAATAGCAGTGAAAAAGAGAAAACAAATTATTCATTCTGACAGAGACGTGTAGAACTGAACATATATCTGGAGACCCAGAAAAGACTGTAGTCGGTTGACCCTGGTTGGATACCAGGCACCCACCAAAGCTACTCTATCAGTCCCCTCCACAAGTGGACAGGGGAGAGAAAATACAGTGAAAGGTTCATGAGTTAAGGACTTGGCAAGATCACTCACCAAATACCATCACAGGAAAAACAAACTCAAATTGGGGATATTAACCGAATTTTATTACTAACAAAATCAGAGCAGGATAATGAGAAGTAAAATAAATACTAAAAAACATCTTCCCCCTGCCCCCCATTCAGTTCTGAGCTCTACCTCCTTCCCCTGAGCAGTGCAGGGAGATGGGGAGTGGGGGTTATGGTCAGTTCATCACAGGTTGTTTCTGCCGCTGCTCATGGAGAGGAGTCCTTCCCCTGCTCCAGGGTGGGGTCCCTCCCACAGCAGACAGTTCTCCACAAACTTCTCCAATGTGAGTCCACCCCACAGGCAACATTCTTCACTAACTGCTGTAACATGGGTCACTGATCCATGAGATGCAGTCCTTCAGGCACTGCCTGCTCCATACTGGGTCCTCCACAGGGCCACAAGTCCTACCAGGAAAACATGCTCCAAGGTGGGCTCCTCTCCACAGGTTTGCAGGTCCCTGCCAGGATTGATCCCTCCAGCATGGATTTCCCATGGATTCACAGCCCTCTTTCAGGCATTCACCTGCTCCAGCATGGATCTCCTCTACAGGCTGCAGGTGGATCTCTACACCCCCACTGACCTTCATGGTCTACAAGGGCACAGCTGCTTCACCATGGTCTTCATCACAGGCTGCAGGGGAACCTCAGCTCTGGAGTCTGGAGCACTCCTCCCCCTCCTTCTCCACTGACCTTAGTGTCTGCGGAGTTGTTCCTCTCATATTCTCACTCTGCTCTTCTCTGGATGCAATTGCATCTGTGCAGTAACTTTTTTTTCCTTCTTAAATATGTTATCCCAGAGGCATTAGTACCTTCTCTGATTGGTTCAGCCTTGGCCTGCAGTAGATCCATCCTGGAACTGCCTGACATTGGCTCTGCCAGACATGGGGGAAGCTTCTGGCAGCTTCTCACAGGAGTCACCCATGCTACCAAAACCCAGCCACCCAAACCCAATACACCTGTGAGATCATAAGAATCAGATGAGAGCCTCTCCAGATAGAGCTGAAAATAGGCTGGGATATTAATCAAATCTATGAGCTGTAGAAACCAGAAGCTATGGTAGGGAAGTTCTTTGTGTCACATTGATATATATTTGTGTCATCTCAGTTTTATTCAAGGTAACTCCAACATCTGATGTTCCCAGAATCCTGTTCACTGCAGTTCTGTGCTTATATCTCAAAAAAAAAAGTGAAAGGTAAGTTTCACATGACAATGAGTTTTTCATAAATGACTTCAGTGTTAGAAAATCTGCAAGTTTCACCCAAGAATTCCTCCAGGAAAATCCAGGAAAAATTAAGGTTAAAATAATATAATATTAAGAGCTAATTTTGAAGCATGTAGGTCTAATCTTTACGACCATTTGAGAGAGATCTGGCACTTTCAGATAGTCATTAATTTCATTCTAAATAAATCTTCTACCCTCTTTTATCATACTCTGGAAACATCCGTTTCTTTTCACTGACTTTGAATGAAGTTTGGCATCATTCTCCTAAAGCTTAAAAAATTAATACCTGAGTAGCTCAAAATCCCCCTAGATATAAAAAGATCAATAATCTCAGGTTATATACAAAACATTATTACTTTTTAATCATCTCTTGCTTTTTCCAAATTATTAGAATCAGGAACACAGTGTATAGTAAATTTTTTGCCATCTTCCTACAGAATATAGGACTCATTTCACAATTTTCTAACCAAGATTTTTGTCCGTTACAAATAAAAACTGTTTGCCTGCTTTCAGAAAGCACAGGTTCCATATTTAGAGCTGATACATAAAGTCTGAAGAACATCCTATCAAACCATAACAGTTTAGAGGCAGACCAAATTACTAAATGCTGCATAGATCATTCTCTCAATATTTTTTTAATAGAAAATATTTATGTAGCAATTAAGGGCACTAAGATTTTAATTTGCAGTAACTGTCCAGCCAATACCACGTAACTCAACTGGAAATAACACAGTAAGTCACAGTGCCCCAAATCTCAATGTCAATCAATAAGTGACAAAAGTAGAAGCTGTTCGTACCTCACTGCTGGAATGCTGGGCACAGATGCCCACTCTGTGATGTTTCTATGCACACTGTAAACTGAGCTCTGGAAAGAATGTCATGTGTGGAGTAATGATATGGCACCCTTATTAAAATATTTCAGTCAAACAAGAACAACAGCACGGTAGTATATCTATCTTTGACAAGTATATATAGCACCTGCTAGAGCTAGAGAGCTCCAGAATCCCTCTCTGTGCTCTGTGAGTAAAAGGAAAAAAGTACAAAGCAATCTCTGTTACAGCAGGGCCCAGGCACCATTATGAAGTAACTATGGCAGTACAAAGTATGCTGTAGCAGAAACCATAAGCATGCAGATAAGCTCAAAAAATGAGCAATCAATTGTCTTAACACCATCACAGAAAAAGTAATGTCAAGGTTAATAATATTTATTAAATACAGGGAATAAGTTAAATCTAAGTTCTAACCAAAAGTGAGAGACAGTTGACAGGAAGATAAAAATTCTGCTCAGGTAATTAAGGATATAGAACTGTTGTCATACACCGTATTACTATTGTAACAAAACAAAAAGGTCACCATGAAGAAGTTCATAACACTACAATTACAGTGTAGACAAAATATTAAATATAATTATTTTGTCAGAGAAAATAGACCTTCAAATTAATTTCAGCTTTAGTCGCTGATTAACAATAGGATGACTCACACTTAAAAATACCAGTCAACTACAGAGCTACAGACAGTCCAACATTTTGAGCGGGTACATTATAATGAAGGTTAGAAGAATTGCTTCATATGTGGAATACTCCTCCTTATTAGCAAACTCCGTTTTTCAGTTACTCCAATTTTAGCACCTGGGTTCAATTTTCCCTGCTGAGTATCTGAATTAGATTTCCCAGGGAGTATTTTAATCTTTACATTTTGGAAACACTTGTTTCTGAAAATAAGTCTTACCACATTTAAAAAATTACTATAGCCTCCTCTTTGAGAGTAACCATTTACATCCTACAAAAATCCACTCTCAAGCTGAATTAAATTGCATTTATCATAGAATCACAGAATGACTTGGGTTGCAAGGGACATTAAAGATCATCTAGTTCCATTCCCCCTGCCATGGGCACCTTTCACTAGACCAGTGAAGCTCCATCCAACTTGGCCTTGAAGACTTCCAGGGGCAGCCCCAACTTCTCTGGGCAACCTGTTTCAGGGCCTTACCACTCTCACAGTAATGACTACATTTAAATTCCCTCTCCCCATGCTTCCATGCTCTACTCACAGAATATGCTGAGTTGGAAGGGACCCATCAGGATCATCAAGTCCAATTCCTGGCCCTACACAGGACAGCCACAAGAATCACAGCATGTGCCTGAGACTATTGTCCAAAGGCTTCTTGAACTCTGTCAGGCTTGGTGCTGTGACCACTTCCCTGGGAAGCCTGTTCCAGTGCCCAACCACCCTCTGGATGAAAAATTTTTTCCTGATATCCAACCTAAACCTCCCCTGACTCATCTTCATGCCATTTCCTTAAGTGCTGTCACTGGTCACAAGAATAAAGAGATCAGTACTTGTCCCTCTGCTTCCCCTCATGAGGATGTTGAAGACTGTGATAAGGTCTCCCCTCAGTTTCCTCTTCACAATCCTCTAATCACAACTGCCTCCAGTGTTCTACAAACATTTCTTCATTCTACTAAAAAGTCTTCCACTTTCTGACTTTACTGGGGCATAAAATTCATAGAAATTGCCTACCTCTGTTGGAGGTGAAGAGCGGTGGAAGACTTACTGTAAATAATGATTAAAAAAAAATAAGGTTTTAACATTTCTTTCCTATGATGTGTGCAGATATTTAAAGTTATATACTCTACTAAATTGTAATAATCCTGAATTTTCTAAAGGCTCAAATTTGAAGCTTGTTCAATATGACATCTATAACCATTCCTGTCCTCCACAATAATAATTTTTAATATTATTATATGAAGAAAAAAGTCTTTGTACTTACTCGGAAGTAGTCACTGCAGGCTGCCAGGACTGCTTTATGTGCATGAAATTTCTGCTCTTCAGCAATAAGGGTAATATCACAAAGTATGCCATCACTTCTTTGTTGGTTCAGGGCTGCCAGGACAGCATCATTATGGGAGCTGGACTGACAAAGCCTCTGACCTGTCAGCATTTCCTGAACACTGAGAGGGGAAAGGGAAAAGATTCTGTCAAAAAAATGTAGGAAACAAGCATATTCTGTCAGAAATACAGAACAACTTTTTCTAAGGCAAGATTGTTTGATAATTCTTGGAAACAAAAAAAAGTCATGACCCCTGTCAGGCAAAAAAACTTAATATAGCATAGACATCACAAAAAAAGCTCAGTATAACAAAGTATTATGAAACCTGATTACATACTCATATTTAAAAACCTCAGTGGTTCTGATTTTCATTTGCTGTAGTGGAAGTCAGCTGAACTCACATGATTAACTCAGAATCATTTTGGAATCAAATGAGAAGAATAAAGGTCCTAGGTTAAGGGACTGCAGAAAACTTTAAGTGGTTCCAACTGATTCATCAGTGGAAAGGAGTATGTATGTACATATGCAACTAGTTCTACTAAAAAGAATGAAGGATCATGGTCTCAGGTGGCCTGTTTAAGACTAATACTGTGCCACTGAATGTTTTCAGACCATTTCAAGTTATTCATATTTATGAAGTGTTGCGGGAGTTTTTTGATTGTCTGGTTTGTGTTGGGGATAGGGGAAAGACGTTTGCTTGTTTTAAAATGCTAAGGCTTTCTCCACCTCTGAATATCTCCATGTATGAATAAAAGATTTGAACATAATCCAGTCTAAGACTGTCTGATGGCAGCTTCCTTTTCTGCAGCAGAAGAAGAGACAATGTAACTGCTGATGTAAATAGAACCAAATCAAACATATTGGCAAATTCCCTTTGGCACCAAACAATGCAATTGATTTGAAATCTATGAGAGTACCAGTTTATATTGCCAGAGAATTTATGTTTTTATAGAAGGTGAATTTACGAAGAGTCATTTTGGTGTATATCAAAGTGAAGACATAAATTTTTTTGTTATTAAGGGGTGAGTAACCTATCAACTTTCCACTACAATCATGTAATTCACTGCATACATATGCTATGCAGCAGCTGTGTGGCTGCTATATTCTCTTTGTTATTCATACACACTCTCTGCCTATCCCACTCCTGCACCTTGGGCATCTCTAAACTACTGCAGCCCTGCCTTGCAGACTGTTTGCTCTAATCCAACCTACTTTTTAAAAAAGACGACAACTAAGACATTACTTCTAGAAGAAGGCTGGCCAAAGTGGAATAGCCTGTACCTGAACTTCAGCCCTCTTTGATAGTTTAGGTTTCATGTATGCACATGTCCTAAATACATTTAAAAATTACTCATTCAAATTATTCTTTTTTGTTCGGCTGTTCTGTTTGTTGAACCCAACTCATATTCTAAATCACAGTTATCAAGAAATCTGACTTGCTAAAATACAATTATTTCTAACAGTTATTTCTCTTCTGTCATTTCTATAGCAAAGTGACTAAACCAAACCAGTGCAAGTATAACATGCTAATTATACCCAGCGATGGCTTCTTTTTATTTCTGTTTTTATTAGCCTCTCTCCCAGTGCTGTGAAGCAAGACCTTCATTCCTCTTGCTTTTTTCACCATCATCCAGAGGACTATTTCACTCAATAGAAAACATACCTATGGTTTTAAACTGAGCTCTATCATAATCCGTTTTTCAATTCAATGCCAAAATGAAAAATCAATTGCCTGTAATCCTTGTGTTAAAAACATATGAAACATATGCATGCAAGGCAATTTAACTGGAATTTATGAATGAAAATACACAGAATCATTAAACACAACATGACGACTTTGTAGTGATATTAGCAGTTGACAGATTCAACAGCTATAAATGCAAGCAAGTCCTGTTTCTCTTCTACTGCAGAAGCATGGCATGGGAAAGGGGAATAGAACTGAAATGATATGGTGTTCCAGTAGCATCAGGTAGTTCTCTGAAGTCCCAGATCAGAGTGTTAGCTACTCTGTAAAACAGAACCATTAGCATATCACACTACTACAAAGTTCTGCAGAAAAACAATTAAGTTAGTAAGTTCTGCAGTGTTCTGCCTGAAAGTGTTTCCAGAAAGTAATTAAATTATAAATAACAAATACTCTGCTGTGACAATGGGCAATACAAATGAGAATGGCTACACTGGGAAAGTGACAGAAGGGAAGGCAGAAAGATAAGTTTGGAGAGAATGCTTTGAAGACATTTTAAACAACTGGAAGAGTAATATACATCCTGAACAGTGGAACACTACACACCCCCAAAATTGTCACCAGCCACCAATTTGGATGCATAAATGTAAAATGCAAGTTGATTCCACAATCAAAAACTCCAAGTATAAACTAAGGCATAAACAACATAACACATGAAGAGGCTGTGGGTCTCCAGTCAATCCTAGGCACACTTCTCTTTACTAGAGATAAGTGTCAACAAGAGAGTAATATTTTGCAGTATTTAATAATGTGAATTCCTATCTAATGAACAAAAGTACTAGTTTCGCTTTTTTCTACTTTGTTTACTGATGCAAACATCATCCTAAATGTTAATACTTCCTACACACTACCAAGTACTATACCTCAGGCACCTCTCAGATGGCATCTTTCAGTTTGGTCTTCTGAATATCAAAGCTTATAACCCTGTAGGGAAAGCAGCAAACATTCCAGCTAGAAAGAGGGAACAGAGAGGAAAGTTAAAATTCAAAGCATACACAGCCTCAGCCTTAAAGATCAATACTTTCAGGATATGTAATTCAAAAGCAACTTTCAGACTGTATTCAATTCCAGCCAATGAAAGTGGCCTTTCCTCTAGTCTTCTCTAGAATTTCACACCCTACCATCTGAATGTCCTGCACCTACTGCACTTGAGGTTTGCTTTCTACAAACACAGGAACACATATAATTTCAAAAAACTGAAGAGAGGTGAGGAGGGAAATAACTGTCCCAAAAATCCCTCAATGAAGAGTAGGCCAAAAGTATGTATAACTCTTTGCTTACTTCCCTGAATAACATACAGCTTCAGAACATTTCACTCTCACCATCAACTCAGTTTCTAGTTATATTATAACTCACCTTATCCTTCAAGAGACAGTAAAACACAGCATATTAAGTAAGTGGTCCAGGTGCTAATGAAGCAAACACATTTCTGATAAAGGTACCTACTATTTTATACACCCATATGTCACTTACATGACATTTCAGTGGTTATAGAAGGCTTTTAAGTTCAACCTTCACATTCACCAGTAGCAAGAGGAGAGACTCAACAGCTGACTCGATTGATATACAGAGAAGTTTTAACTAGGTCCTTAAATGGCCTAAGTCCTTCACCAGAACTAATACAGAAGTAATATCTGTAAGTATTACTCCACTACAACATCTATATAAATGCCAGCACTGCCCATACCAGCACAAAGAATTCTCGAGCAAAAATTCCTTACTCCATCACAGGTGTGAATATGGACATCAAAATCAAAGGTTTGACCTCTGCTGATTGGAGAGACAGTAGCCAGAAGCAACTCACCTCAAGTCTATGCAGATATACTATATGTTTCTGGTGAAACATACCATACATAAAATACAGAGTATTATATATATTAAAACACCTGCATAGGAATAAATAACATAGCTTACTGGTTTTCTAGCCACTGTCCAAGTTTAAAGCAATCCACCTTGATGTCACATCTGAACAAAGTAACTTCTTCCAGTCTCAGGGGATCAGAACTTTGGACTTCCTGAAGAATTAAGGAAAAACTGCCATTCTTCTCCTAGGAACTCAAGTTTCAGAACAGGAAATCTCTCTCAGATGCCTTCAAACAGCTTGATAGCATTTTCAAGGGGACTTTCATCAAGGTTTGCAAGAGAGATCTAAGATACAGCCTCTTTTTTTTTCCCACATTGTTGGACTTGTCTCTTCATGCCACACTGCAATCACATCCAGAAGCACCTCAAAACACAGGCCTAAGTGGGCCCTTGAGTGCACACAGGCCACTAAGGACTTTATTTCTGTCCCTCTTACGATCCAGAGCCAGCACTACCAGAAATACAGAGCAGTTGATGCCTTTTATCCCCACATAATGAAAATAGTTTAACCGTGAAAAGCTGCAACACAAAATTTTAACTATCTTTCAGCTCACTTAGATTCAGATAGCTAGCATATGCAAATCTTTACTGCTACCAGATGCAGTCTTTGCTCTTCTGATGATCCACACTTAGATCAAGAACCCTTGGGCATATCTTCAAGCAGATAACTGCTTTTCTCCCCTCAACAGCCCCTGCTGCTTCAGACCCACTCACAGGAAGACTGGTTTGCCTCCCTGGGGAGATCTGTGCTATTCATGTCGTTTGGGAACTATAGGGTCCTTTACGCTAGTACCACTTGAAAAGGCTTTCACCTAGTTCATCACAAGTAAGGTTGATGATCTTCTGTTTACCACTGAACTTCACAGAGGCACTGCATTAGTTAAATATTGCTCTGCCTTTAAACTCCCCTAGTGTGTGAAAAGCCCTCTAATTTCTCCTTTAATTTTTTACATTGAGTTGGGAAAGCCACACATTTATCTATTTCTACATTACTTAAAACAATACTGCTTATTAAAAATCTATTTCAAATAATCAGTTTTAACTCATTCAAACCATCCAGGCAAACCCCAAGTATTTAAGTAAAGATTTTAATCTCATTTTACATAGGTAGCTTTTAGTTATCTTCCTAAACTGAAGCTGTTTCCCTTGTCAGTAACCATACAAAATGGGTGATTTGTAAAACTTGGCATTAAATGTGATTTTTTTTGTTTCTATGAGTACAGATGATGTATCTTTCCAGCTAGCAATAATTCATTTAGATATATTTCTTAATATTCTTAATTATGACTCTCAACTTATGTTGGAAAATGGTGACTCAACACTACTTACATTACATTTGGTGTGCACTAAATTAGCTTAGGTAGAAATTGATGAAAATTCATGTACTCAAAAACTGGTTAAAATTACTACAAATACTGAATATATTTTGAAGAGATTTTTGCATTTTCAAGTAGTTATCTTTAATTAGTTATCTTCTTTCCCTCAAGTCACTCCTTTTCTAAATGTGTGTTTTTAGTATTGAAAAACACTTCCACTTAAACCCACACCACTTTAAATTAGATGTATATGCAAACTGAAGAGATCATAAGATCTTCCCTGTAAAAGAGCAAAATTTAGACCAACTGATTAAGTCATGAAGATAAAGCATTTCTATACAGTGAAATGGTATTTTCACTTTGACAGCTTCAAATATCTGTTTTAAATTTTGTCTTTTTTTTTTTTTAAGAAAATGCAACATTTAAAAACTATGAGAAGTACACATTAATTTCATTTCAGAATTATATCATAGCACATCTTGGTGGAGGCTGTCATGGATACAGAATAAAACCATTAAGATTTACCCATGGCAATTTTCTATTCCAGCTTAGAGCCTTATTCATAGGAGCTTCTGGTTTTATCTGTGGTTTTAGTAAGTCAGAATAATCCATCGTTTCAAGCTGTACTTCACCTTCTCTCAGAGTAAGAGTCTCTTCAGAAACAAAATTATAAGCTTACTATTCACAGAAAAAAAAAAAAGGACAGCATTCTCTTCTATCCTTTTAATCACAGCTCTGCCAAATTAATTTGTCAAAGGGAAAACACTTGGAAACAGCTTTGAAAAAAATTCATTGCAAACCTGCTCTTCTGAGTATATTAACACACTTCTCCCCCATGACAGGGAGACACCACGTTATCCCTTTTTCGTTGAGATCCTTGAGAGCTGAAATATTTTTCTCTTTCCATAAAAAATGTTCAAGAATTTCACAACTGTGAGGAAAAATCTGCCATTGCCCACTGTTGTCAGTGAAACCACAGTTCAGCTCAATCAAAAGTTGCTCATCTAATGTAGTCCCTCAATAAAGTGACTTTCAAGAGAAAGCATTCACAGTACCGAAAAAAGCCCTTAGATTTAATGACAATTACAACAGTAAGGGAATAAAAAAATTGAAAACCTGGATTTGTTTGGGAAAATAGGGTTTGATCAAAACACTCAGAAAAAATTCAGCAAAACAATAAAATAAAATCAAATTTTTGCAGTCTTCTGATTAATAACAAACTATTTTCTTGTGAGACTGGAAAGGTCATTGTTATCTTCAGGCCATCAGCTACAGACATTTAGAATAATGAAGTTTATTTTCTATTACTACCAAATTACTATCTGACTTCATAGAATCATTAAGATCTTAAACCACAGAAATATAAAATGAAACCACAGGCCGTACAAGCAGAAACACATTCTATGTCTTTACATCCTCTTTGTGACTTTATATCTTCTACATATCTCAATATATCAGCATTCTGAACATTTTTTTCTGAAGAGGCATTCAGATAAAATAAAATCCAGGTCATGGTCATCTGTGTAACTTAAGGCATATTTTACCTCAGCTACCACCTGAGCAAGAAGTTGTTGCATTCTAGTGATAAAACCACATACAATCGTGTAACTCAACTGGAAACCACACAGTTGGAGTTTGATGACTTTCAAGAACATGTTTGCTTCCAGGATGCGTGTATACTGTTTCATGTTTTTCCTTTGAAAAAGGGAAGTTTTATACAACTATAATAGCATACCATCGTGTACCAGCAGCTTAGCTTTTCAGAACCACTCACTGTTGCTACCATTTAAGCTATGATACTAGTTACCTGCTGAAAGGTGCAGCCATTACTTACAGCTGACCCATTTATCATTGTTAGGGAATGGCTAGGAGGATCCATATTACAAATGGATCCTGATCTGGCTGAAGATATCCCAGCTCATGGCAGGGGACTGGGCTAGATAACCTGCAAATGCCTCTTCCAACTCAAACTATTCTATTGTTCTGTGAACTTATTTTCTCATCTTTCTCAAAGCTAGGCAATAAATATGCAAAGAACTCTCAATGTATAGTATCTAATCCATAGATTAAGTTCACAGTCATTATAAGGGACAGGATGAAATTTCTTGGGCATTTTAGTTTTTAAGGCATTGTGCGGCTGGCATGAACCAAAATCTTCAGTTACTTTGCCAGAGTATGCTTTCAAGATTTTTCCTAGACTCAACAAAAAGAAAATAAAAGACTATCTGACTTGATCAATAGTGTACAGCCTTGCATAACTGAGGTGACCAGTTATATGTCTAAATACTACATGGCATTTCCAGTGAACAAGTATTTATATATTTCAATAAAAACATATAGAGTTTATACATTTCTATGGACCTACAAGGCCCTCAACTTTCTCCATGAAACAGCATTCATGAAGTTAAAAGTAAAAAGCTGTGACTACCAGCAGCCAAGAAAACATGTACCTTCTAAGAATGGCCTTCAGCAGCCACAGGGTGGCAGAACTAAACTTCAAGATAACCTACACCTCCAGGACGGTGACCAGAATATTTCAAGAAGTCTTTTCCCCTCCACCACCACCTCCCAGCATAATTACAATAATATAAAATACTTGCTGCGTGTCCAGTGGGTGCTTTCAATACCAGGAATTACAAAAGGAAAAAAAAAAAAAAAAAGAAAATAGTCTGTACATAACAGTACAATCACACAGCACTTCTCTGAAAATCAGAGCATTGCAACAGGTTACTGATACCCATGTCTCTATTTTGAAAAAATATTCAAGTCATA